TAAAAATTATACGAAAAGCTACTTTAATAAGCAGTAAAAAAGCCGTCTCAAACGAAACATAAGCTTAATAAGTCTTCATCCTATGTTTCCTTACTTAATAAGCTGCTTTAATGTTAGCAAGTACTTATATCTTCATGTTTATCTTTTTCCATTTGATAATTATAAATATAAGCTTGAATTTCAAACCAGTCAAATAATTTAATTTGAGACGACTTGTTTATTGCTTTTTAAAACAGAGTTTTAGTAAAAAATGCTAAGCATTTTTTAGGAGAACATAGGAAATAAAATGTCAACAGAAGTAAATTTCAATTAGTTTTAAAGTCTTTTCTAATTACTGTAATGTTTCTAATACTTGCTAACATTCAAAGATATTTGCTTCCACTAATTGAAGATCTTGTCTCCACCACTGGCTGTGGAACACACATGATTTTCTATGATATATATAGGATGTGCATAAATAATTATGATTACATCATGTGCTTTATTTGTATAATATCAGTTTGTTATAATGTCAAATATATTCAGAAATTTGACTTTTATCTCTTTTTATTTACTGATTTGGTCTAATATACCCCTTGAATTTTATTTGGTCAAATATCATTGAAATTGATTTTTGGATAAAAATAGTACTCTTATATTGAAATATGAAGGATAATGCCTCATATTCGCATCTATATTAAACACTCTGTGTATTGCCTCGCTATTTATTTTGAGTCATTTATGTTGTTGCAATGGCTGGAGGCATGGACTGTATATTTCTTCTTTTTGAATAAATGGATCTTTTTTAGTAAAAAAAAAGAAGTATTGTGAACCTATTGATCTTGCATGAACCTATCTACATTTTATTTGCCTTGCTATGAATTTAAAATGTCCAAACTTATCATTTTTGCGAAGATCTAAGTATTATTTTGCTTGAGCCACATACAAAATAGGAGCTAGGTTTGATGGAGAAATTTGTCTTAAGAGAATATAATTGCTTGTTGTTATGCATTCGATGGGTATTTATGTAAATATCTTATATTTTGATGAGATATTTATATAAATATTAATTAAGTGTTACCCTCATCTGATTTTTTTCCCTCAAAATTGATTGCAAGGGACCACTCTAATGAATGAATAATAACTATCATACTATCTCACCATCCTAACCGGCAAGTGTATTGATAGAAGTCAGACTAAGTTGTCTCTAAATTAATGAGCCCAACATATATAGCCATCAAACATAATACATGAATGGCATCAAGAGCTAATGGACCTCAATAATTTCAACTACTTGATTGATACATAGGCATTTCAATTCATTTTCTTCCTATGATTTCACCAATAAAATTTTGATTTACTAAATATTATTCAAATGCTATAAAATGTTATTTGGGGAGTAATTGAGTTAAAAAGATTCGAGCTTGGCTCGATAAATGACTCATGGGTTGTAATGATGGACTGATAGGTTAAGCTTAAGATAACTCCAACTCAACTCATCATTTGGAAGTGTTGAATTCGGATCTCCCTATGGGTCATGCCCGAATCTTACTAGCAAGATTATTTCTAGCTAGTGTATAGTTTTGACTTTTGATTTTGGAGAATTAATAGTTTGAGCTTTGTGTTTAGTGAGTTATTTTGAGCTCAAAATTATTGTTTGTATTGTTCATGTGATGTGATTAACGTAGCCCTTTTCTATAGCACCAAGTGAAAATCTTATAATTAACTATAACCTTACTCTATTGAGAATAGTAGGCTGAGTGCATATGATGGACCTTAGAGTGGAGAGTTGATGTTTGTAACTTCATTTGGTATAAGATGTAAGGGAACCCAATGGAAGTGATTTGGGGTTTGAAAAACTTCGCGAAGATAGAGATCTAATTATGGTCAAAATCTACCAAGGAGTAATGAATTTGGGTTTATTTTATGTGGAGCTTAAAAGTTGGTTAGATAAGGAGATTGATATAACGGGCATATGTATTTTATGAACAACTTAAGATACTAGAAAAATAATACAGAAATTGTTAGGGGTTATTATAACAACTCAAACTCTCAACCATCGAGATATTATCCGCTTTAATCTAATGGCCTCATGAATTTTGTCCACTTTGTGCAACTTCCCAAGAGGTTACTTGTCCTAGGATTGCACCATTATCAGTACGCTTAATTGTAGAGTTTCAAATGAAATTCTAACTGTTTAATTGTAGAGTTTCAAATGAAATTCTAACTGTTATATCAAAAGTCACCCTGTTGTTTAAGAGTTTAACAAAATTTTCATAAGGGATTTCATGGTTGTGGTGTGAAGAGATCAAGAAAGACAGTGTGACTAGAATGAGCTAGATTTTGACTATCTTGTTTAACTTGGAGATTATAATGAAAGAAAATGTTAAAATTAAGAGAGAAGCTCCAAAACACTTGAGAGATATAAGAAAACAACTAACATGAAAGGACTATTTAAAATAAAAATAAAATAGTAATGATAAATCCTTTATTAAAGTGGGCCTATTCCTAACCTCTTAACCACACATAGCAAATAAATAGCCACCAAGCATTTCCAAGAGGGAATAGTGAATTATTCAATATGATATATATTTAATTAGAAGCTTATTTTCTTATAAATATCATAATATTTAAAAGCATCATATAAGTAGAATACAAAATAACACATGGGAATGATGGTTAAATTATAATAAATACATTGGATCTAGCTAAATATAGCTTTCATAACTTCATCTTAGAAATTCAAGGATATATATATATATATATATAACTAAATTAGTTTATTGGGTCATCTATGGGTTATTCGTATTGCCAACGGGTCGGATTCAAGTCATTAGAATTTTCAGTGAAATGAGTATGGATATACCTTTTTTGACATGTTAAATAAATGAGTCGGATTTGAATTTAGTGAATTCGGGTCAGGTCAATTACATGCAAACCCAATCCTAATTAAAATCTTATATTAATAAAATTAAACATCATGCACTAAATATACAAAAAAAAAAATTAATTCACTCAAATTAACAAAATTAAAGTCCATCTTCATAATTGAACACTGCAAGATGAATAATAATTTCTTATACATAAATTATCAAAACTATACATAATTGATTCATTCAAACATAACAAATATATATTATTCCAAAGAAATGTAGATGTATATAGAAATCTACAATGCTAGCTAGCCATTATTTGAAAAGAAAAAAATCATCAAATGGCAGCTATCCATCACATCATCATTCATTCTCTTGCCTTACATGCACGCAGTAGAATTATAGCCTTCAAAATGTTTCATGGAACTTCTGCAATAAATTCTTTACAAGTGGCTGATAGCCAAAGCCTGTAGATAACACTATCAGCAAAACATTCACCACAAATTAACTGACAGATAGAACATCAAATTGATTTTATATGCATTGTAAGTCAACTTGCATGTTATCTACTCTCACTTCTGAATTCATCTTATCCTTGAAGGGATAAGGCTAGTGAGATAGGTGGAGGGGAGAGAAGAGAGATGTTAGAATAATTATATCGATAGTATTGGGATGATTTCTTTCGATAAAGAGCCTGATGATCGTTGGGAAGCATTATTAAGATGATGATAATGATCGAGAAAAATGAAATGCTTAAGGAGAAAATGTTTGGGTGCGAGGATTGGGGTGCCATTATCCAAAGTACAAGAAATAAGATTACGAGAAAGAATGGAGAAGTGAAAGTTGGATATGTTTCTAGCTAAGGGGGAATGATTTGGAAATTGAGAGGATTATGTATGCCATCATCAATAAGAATGATATACATCATCATCACTAGCTTTGAATCATGTTATCAAAACCAACATTTATATTAGACTTATTCATCTATGGTCTTCTCTATACAGGAGAATGACCGAGATTTATTGAAGAAAACTCAAATGCATCAAGGCTATTTTAGTTTTCATCATAGATTTCGCTTTCCACACTTTATGTCTACTATATTGTATTAATCCACTCTCAAATTATGGGAATGAGTATCATTTGTAACCGACGACATATACTAGTTGAATCATTTCAATGGATCAGACCTCATATTTTTCTCGCTTATTGGATTTTCTGCATAAAAACTCAAATGTCATTTGCAACTTTTTTTATTTATGAGTGATGAACCTTTATAAAAGCTAATATGTTAAATAATTTCTCTCTCCACAATGAATATTCTAACACGCAACATTATTATATGAAATAGATTATTTAAACTTCTTTTTTATTAAACTTAGATAGTTATTGTGACATACATTTTTCTTAAGACTTGTCCAAATCATATCAAGCTATCAAATTTTCAATAAACGACCATTCTCTTGTGCTCATCTTATAATATCTGTACTTTATTGTTTTTGTATCAATGTGTTCATATGTATGCACCATTACGTGGATAAAAATATCTGCATAAATTAACATCCTATATTAATAAAACTAAAGCTTCATTTGGGACGACTTTCTTATTTCTTTGTAAAGCTATTATTTAGTACAAAAATCTCTTGAAAGTAGAAAAAAATAGTGGTCTAAAATTGTCCCAAATGAAGCCTAAATTTCATAGAATCAAGCATTGCGTGATGAATACATTCTCATTAATAATATATATGATATAATCATATATATTGCTATAATAAAACTTGTATATAGTTCCCAAATGAAGCTATAATAAAATCAAGATTTATATAGAAACCTCACATCGAGCCGCCTTTGTTTTAAGAAAATAAATAAAATATCATTGAATCCCTATCACATCATCATTCCTTCCCTTCCTTACACGCAAAAGAATCATAGCCTTCAAAATAATTCATGAAACTTCTACAATAAATTCATTACAAGTGACTAATAACCTAATCCCTTAAATAACATTATCAACAAAAACATCCACCACAAATTCAATGCCACATACATGAACAAAATTGATGAGCAAATGGTATGTGGCCCCTAATAATTGATTTTACACAATCAATCAACTTGCATGTGACCTTATCTCACCTATAAATACATCTCACCCTCTTAGCATTACAAAGAAGAAAAAGGTTAAAGAGAGTGATCATCATCATTTCAATGGCGCTGAGATGGTTCCTTCAAGCAACAAGCATGATGATCGTCGGAAAATCAACTGATCACGATGTTGAAGTGGAACCAGCGATACAGAAAAAGAAGTTATTTAAGGTGAGGAATTTCGGGTGCGAGGGATTTAAGATGCCGCTTCACTATCCAAGATACAAAAAGGTAGATTATGAGAGGATGGATGAGTGGAAGTTGGATATGTTGTTGAAGGAATATGGTTTGGAAGTTGAGGGATCTTTGGATGAGAAGAAATCATTTGTCATGGGGACTTTTTTGTGGCCTGATCAGTTCTAAGATATTATTACGCATTATTGATATATCTTAGTCAATGATATATGCATGTTCATAATATAGGATGAGTTAATCTTAATCGTAGATTTTATAAGAAATATTTTCCTTTCGTTTGTATCTCCTATGGCTTCATTTGGGATGGCTTTTTTATTGTTTCTTAAAATAACTTTTTAGTATAAAAATAAATTTTTGTGTACTAAAAAGCTGCTTTAAGGAGCAATAAAAAAGTCTTCCCAAACAAAGCCTATATGAGTAAGTTTATTAAGATTTTCTAATTTTTATTTGCTAGTGTGGAAGTAGTAATTAAAATAATATATGTTGATAATTATGAGAGTACTGTTATCATTCTATTTTTTGTTGCTTGTTTTTTTGTAAAATATTTATTTTTACTATTTTCAAAATATTTTTCATTTATATTATTATTTTATGTATTTTTTTTCCAGTTCAAATATTTTTTTTGCACTTCTGGTCTCAAGATCACCACATAATTGTTATTAATGCCCTTAGCCTTTAGGGTATTAAGATTTTCTACTTTTTATTTGCCAGTGTGGAAGTAGTAATTAATTAAAATAATATATGTTGCTAATTATGAGAGTACTGTTATCATTCTATTTTTTGTTGCTTTTTTTTTTAAATATTTATTTTTACTATTTTCAAAATATTTTTCATTTATATTATTATTTTATGTATTTTTTTTCCAGTTCAAATATTTTTTTTGCACTTCTGGTCTCAAGATCACCACATAATTGTTATTAATGCCCTTAGCCTTTAGGGATTTAATTTCACTTTTTGAAAAGAATCATGATTATCCTCAAATTTTAAAATATAAGACTTGATATATAATAAAAATTATTCCATCATTTTCTATATTATTAGAAAAAAAAAACATGCTCGACTCAGATGCACTTTTTTTTTTTTAATTCGCTCCATAGGATTTTTCCATATTAAAAAGAAAAGTAGAGAAATTGGTTTATTATTTTTCTTTTATATTTTTTTACTTTCTCTTTATTGAGAAAATTGGGAGAATTTGAGCTCAGATGAGTATGTTTTTGTGTTAAAAAATTAAGTGTCAAAATATAAGTACAATATAAATGAGATTTAATTTTGAAAATTTGTATCAATTAAATTAAAAAATATAATATTTTGATAATAATATTGTGTGCTTAGAGTCAAAATGAGTGACTTGATGAGAGAAATCTAATGAGTTTTTCTTTTATGGGAAATCCCATGGAAGGGGCCTTCGCGTTAATACCAAAATAGAATTACAAGACCTTATAAAGGTTATCAAGCCCTCTAGAAATACAACAATTGAATCAAAACCTATAGGCCTCGAGAACCAACTAATTACATAAAACAAACAACAGAATCTAAAAAAAACAAGCAACAAGAGCCCCCAAAGCCACAGGCAATCGATCGTGTAGCCATGAAAGCAATTCCAAAACCATCCAAACAGCCACCCAAAGAAACCCGCAGCTAGCACAAGCCGGAGGAGTACAAAGAATAACCAAGTGCAAAACAACAACAAAACCAACACCAAAACCAACACCAAAACCAAACAAAAACAAACCCAAGCACATCGCCAAACCAACAAACCAACCACCAAAATAAAAAATCCAACACTTAACAGCCACCCAGAACCTAAAGGAATTACAAAGAGAACTTTTTCAATTTCCGTCTACACCTTTTCTCACCTCCCTGAGACATAGTTTTCTCATTGATACCACCAACACTTAAATTATACAAAGCAAGTTCCCCCTCAGTCCCTTTCAAATCCTCCCCAACACCACAAGGGGAGGAAAAAGCGTCATCAAGCCAGTCAATTTGGTCTGAACAATTACCCAACAATTGAGCACGCAAAGCTTCATTCGTTATAAGAGAAACCGACACATCAATGAAAGGCACATTCACTAGCACAAGTTCCAATGGAACTAAAAGAGATTCAGTCGAAATCTCAACAACACCATTAGCATTCTCAATAGCCCCACCCGCAACCTACCCATCAACACCCACAGTATCTGCCCCATCCTCCAAAAGAACAAAATTAATAGCTTGATCCGCCACCATATCATTAGAAACCTCAACATCCTCACCTACAGCCTGCCCATCAACAACCAAAGCACAAACTCTGTCCTCCAAAAAAACAAAATTACCAGTAAGATCTGAATAGCCCCAACCTCATTACCAACAGTGAGGGAATCATCAGGAGAAGAAGTTAAGTTAACAAAGCAATTATTGGCACCCAACAAAACATTATTGCCTTCTTTGAAATTAGAACCAATAATCACAGGCACATCAGCACTTGAATATAATTAACTAAATATCGCTCTGTTGTAATAGAATTAAAATATTAATATGTAAAGAATATTACACAATCAAGGGGATAATTAATAAGAAACATGTAATTAAATGTTTTAATTTTTAGTTTAAATAATTAGAATATTTTCTTCATAAATTTACAAATATATCAAGCTTTTTATATAATTGAGGAGATTATGATGATATCAAAATAATAATTCTAGAGGAGAAAATTCAAAACCCTAACATATTTATCATTCACATTAGTGTAATCATTCTAACTATACTATGTTGAATAGTGTTTTCCCTTTAAAAAAATTCATCACATAAGAAGCAACATGCCTCATTAGAGGTGCTTTCAACTTATTTTGTATGTGTAAATGGATGATTTGCCAAACAACAAAAATGACAACTTTAAATCCTACATAATCTTAAATCTCTTTCCTTCTCTCTTTTACCTTAATTATAAGATTTACTAAATCCGAGAGTTTAGCAGACTTACAGAATTTAGCGAACATGAAGCACTAGAGAAAGGTGTGGCAACAACCTATTCTTCTGCCAGCTTAAGGTCGCAAGAGTAACCGACCAAAGGTGAAGCAAGAATGAGAAGTACAACCTATGGAAAGATGGTACCTAACAAGAAATAGTGAAATACAGCTACAATTCTACTTCACATGAAGCCGAAGCAACAACGAAGAAATGGTGATGATGAAAATCAAAGAAAATAAAAATTATAGAAATACAAAGATAATGTCAGAGAAGAAGACTGCCTACTTTTGGTGTAAGTGATTCAAGTTGACTCGTGGGATGACTCAAGTTTGGCTCGATAAATGACTAATGAACTAACAAGTCAAGCTTGAGGTAGTCTTGACAACTTGTTTGCTCGCAAGCTAGCTCGTTTAAAAAATATGAATATAAAATGCATTAAAGATATATTATAGTTGTAAAAAAATATTTATAAATTATATCCAAGTTTCTGATTTTAAGTTATTCTTCATTATTTTTCTTCTAATTTTTAATTATGTTAATGATGAATTTATTATAATAATTACTTGAATCATATGCAGTTTTTTTTCTTTCAAAATAAACGAGTTAGCTCAAACTCATAAAATAAAGCTCAAGTTTGAGCGCTTGAACTCAATCAATTACTCAAGCTCAAGCCTCTAGTGCCTCTCAAGCTTGACTTAACTCTTTTACTCCCCTAACATGACATCCTAAAATGTTATATATATTTATATATATTGTTAGGTTGATAATTAATTATAATATTTATATGTAATAAGTACAATTTAATTAACCTAATTAAAAATTATAAAAAAAATATAAAGATTATTTGGTCTTTCCTTTTTTGGGTGCTATTGCTGAATAGCCCGTTTACTTTAAGTTCTTTTTGTAATGGTAGTTCAAGGATCTGCCGGCTCGTAGGAGTTCTTTTTTCTTTTTGGAATGTAGCTCGTTTGAGCATTAGGGAGCTGGCGGAGCCTTTTAAGGATTTTGTAACCGTTGTTTTACATGAACACGTAGGCCCCTATCGCCGGGTTTAACCTTAAAAAAATAAATAAATAAACAAATAAATAAATAAATGGATTCAAATCATTTTTGTTTCATTGTCCTCAAATTTGGTGGACATTGGAGTGAGGTGCAAGGTCAGGCTCGAATGAAGTAAGTGGGTGGAAGTTAGAAAACCTTAAAGCTTTGGACATATGAAATCAGTTTGTTGTTGCTAAAAGAACGAGTTGAAGCACTTTGTCATTGGCTAACGGGTCAACCATTCGATTTACACTATCATGTTAATGGAACCTCACCTAAGAATTACATGTGGGTTTCAAGCGATTTGGATGTAGTTGACATGCTTGACAGTTTTTATGAAAGGAATAGAATTGAGGTGGCGATTGCAATGAAATGTCACAAGAAGATATGTCCCAATCACAGAACATTCAAATTAAAATGACAACCAATTAACTGAAATGCATGAGTTCAGGTCAAGAATCAGAGAAAATAATGATATTGTAGTAGATGATCTGTGCGATGAGTTTTTTATACCTCAAACTAATGAGGCAATAGTCTATGTGTTAGTTTATGGTTTAAGGATTCCCAAAGTTTCAAACAAACAGTTAGGTCTAATGTAATTTACAGAATTATGCTTGTTGCGGACGAGAATATACGCAGCGATAGAGTAAAAAAGTTTCTGTCTCAGCGTGTACAGATATCCAGCACACAAACATGAGAGAAATAAAAACATTAGGTTTTTTACGTGGAAAATCCTGAAAAGGGAAAATCACGGGATCACGCCCAGTTGAAATAATTTCACTTGTATTTGCTTGAGATACAAGAAGCTGGCTAGTTCTTAAAATTTAGGACAAACATATTACAATGATTCACTTCTGGATTGAAATCCAGTTACAAACAAGTTGTGTATTCGAGCTGAATTCAGAGTCACATAGAATTCCGGCGTCACTTGGGCAGAATTCCGACGTCACTTGGGCGTCGGGCAGAATCCCGGCGTCACTTGTGCGTCGGGCAGAATTTCGGCGTCACTTGGGTAGAATTTCAACTTTACTAGGGCGTCAGGAAGAATTTCGGTGTCACTTGGGCATCAGGAAGAATTTCGGTAATGATCGAGGAGGAGCTTCTTCCCTCATTCTCTTCTCTTCTTCTTCTTCCTTGGGTCCACTCTCAAGAGAAATGAGGGGCTATTTATAGTTTAGGGTTTAGGATGGCATGACCCGTAAATAGGAGGAGGATTAAGGACAAAGGTGGAGTGGTTCGGATGGACAACCGATATTCAATCCATTGATCGTGGACCATTTGTCAAACCTTTGAAGATCTTAATGATATCAGAATTCGTCGATTTTGGGCTCGTTGGATTTGTCTCATTGAGCCGCTCGATTCGACTATAAGCAAGTCATGTTTGGAAACTGTTTGGTAATTCAAATTGTGGTTTGAACCTTCCAACATCGCTTCGGGTCTTCGATTCGGACTCATTTGGGTTCAGATCGAGTTAAATTTGGTGTCGTTGAGTTTGTATTTCTGAGACTCTCAGTTTGACTATAAGTTTGATGAAATCAGAGTTCAGGTGATCCCAAATATAATTTTTGAAGTTTCCTGCTTGATTTTGCCTCGAGATTTGTGCCCCCATCAAGATAATTTTTTGATGATAAATCAATGCTAAAAAAATAAAAGGCTAGTGACAAATCCAAAAGAGCAGTTACGTTTATTGACTTTGAATTTTATTCCGCGGCTTGCATTCCACAGAATTCTGCGGCTATTCATTCAAATTAATATGACAGTAATCACAATTTTACAACATTCTGTAGCATTTTAATTGTCATAGTAGAAATTGCATTACACAAAGGTATTCTCTGCTATTCATTCAAAATTTCTCATTGAAAAAAACAATATATTAATAAGACAAACGGTCAAATGAAAAAGTGAATCAACAAGTACAATTATAGCTTGTGAGCAGAGATTTCACAGCGACCATTACAATCAAAGTTAGAATAACCACGATCACCAACAAGATTTTTATTTGTAAAAGCTCGGCTTTAATTGAAACAACTTGAGTTGGGCTGGAATCAGCAACTTGTACACTACCACGCGAATTCATATAATACGGCAAATCATTTAGTTAATCACACCATCGAAAAAACGACAATCGTCTTTTGATCTATTCCGGGCGCATATATATAATTTTCTTCCATAACAACACGAATTGTATGACGTATATATTGTGCATTGCAAATTGCAATGACAATATATTTGATTACTTGGGTTTCTGATTGGCGTCACCGAGGAGCTCGAACTCATTGTAGAATGATTTTACAGCTTGAGAATCAATAAAAATACACATTCAAAATAAAAAATAAAGAATTTCAGTAATGCATAGCACTAAAGCTGATAATTCAGTCATCAAATATTTGTAATAATGAATAAAATCCATTTTTTTATATATGGATCAATGAAATTCAGATTCATATAGTTTCAGTTAAACATTTGCACTACTCCTTTCTATTCCTGAAGGGCGGCTATATTCAACTTTCATAAGTTCTCCCTCATCTACAGTGAACATAGCACTTCATATCTAAATTCCTAACGGGCTTCCTACTTCCTAAAGGCTCCCTTATTTACGAGTAATTATTGTGTACGGATACAAAATGTGTTCAGAGACCAATAAAAATGTGCCACATCACTAGGTGCTCGGTACCGCGTTCGGTACTGACAGCGGTACCGCTCGGTACCCTGTACGGACATAATAATTTTTCCTCATTTACAGATGATTTTGGTTGGCTCCCGTAGGTGAGCCGTGGAGAAGGCAAAGAGTACATGATTTGAGAAAAAAAGAGCAAATTACAACTAAGACATTCATATGGTGAAAAAAAATCAGAACCATCCATCATTCATGAAATGAAAAACACGAAAAGCAAACCTTGCTGATCTTTGAATGCGAAGGAGAAGATGCAAGGCCAAGGGAGATACGATGCGTGCGAAACCTTCAAATGCGACAGAGAAAGCGAGGGTTTGGACGGCGAAAATACTCTCTCGCATTCAAAAGGAAGATGAAGCGCATATAATGCTTTTTTTTGCACAGAGCTTAAAAGGTGTGAGAGAATAGATGAAAATGAGAATTTAAGTGGTATATAAATAAATATGATAATTTGAATGTGAATATGTATTTTTAATATTTTGAAAGGTTATGTATATAAAAATCCCTTTACTAAATTCAGATTTACAAATATATTAAATCCTACTTTGCAACCAAACAATTTGTAATTTTCAAATTTTAAATCCAGTGTTGTAGTAATCACCATTTATGGACAATTAAAAAACGTGTGTATAAAAGATCCGAGTTTCCCGAGTCACACTCCGAGTTACACACGATTCTCACGATCGCACCCAGTCGTCTCGAAAGAAAAGGGCAGAGATCTGAACTCAGCGTCCTCTCCGTTCGTCCAGATCGTGAAGCCCATCTCCGCTGTTTCGGCAACGATTTTGTCATCCACCGTCAAATATTTTGAGAAGAGAGATCTGGTTCTCTGCTGCGTCGTCTTCTTCATCTCTTATATCTGATACGCCTTTGCTGCTATTCTAGGGTTTTCTTTCATCCTGATTTTTATGTTTCGATCTCTTTTTTTTGGATGTATTATTGTTGATCTGTTTATTTTACTTTTTTTATTTAATTCAATTTTGGTAGATTCGTTGAATCGGATTATCGGTTTACATTGATCTGTGAAGAAAATGGCGGGAGGGTTTAGGGTGCTGCATCTGGTGAGGCCTTTTCTGGCGATCTTGCCGGAGGTGGAGACTGCGGATCGGAAGATACCATTCAGGGAGAAGGTCATCTACACGGTGATATCGCTTTTTATTTTTCTGGTCTGTAGTCAGCTTCCTCTCTATGGCATCCACTCTACCACCGGCGCGGATCCGTTTTACTGGATGCGTGTCATCCTTGCGTCCAACCGAGGAACTGTTATGGAGTTGGGTATTACTCCTATTGTGACATCTGGACTGGTTATGCAGCTGTTGGCTGGATCCAAGATCATCGAAGTCGATAATAGCGTGAGAGAGGATCGCGCTCTGTTGTAAGTGGTTGCTTTGCTTGAGAATCTAATTTCTGATTTATCCTTAAGTATCTAAAAATCGTTAAAATTTATGCGTTATTGACTTGCTATGACTGCTGGATGATCCTTTTTCCTCATTTTTCGCTTATAAGGGATCGCCACTTTGTTTAGAAATTTTTTCTTATAAGAATTAATATTTGTTTATCTTCTTCTATGGCTAATCTTTCGCTGCATTGCTAGCCTATCCACACCACACTGCCATTACCATGTATATATATCATCTTCGTCGATGTTGGAGACTCTGTTCTCCATTGCCAGTGTATTTCAAGGGAGAAGGGAAGGGGGATAGGAAAGCAAAAAGATAATGCCAAAAAGATTGTGAGAGACCATATGCAAGCATGTATCTAGATCTTCAAGGGGAAGTGGGGTTGCTAGAACCCATTGGGATTGGATGTCACACGGCCCTAACAAGATTCCATACGTAAGTATTGGATATGGTATAGGATCCTGCAACCTAGTAAGATCTTGGTTTGATTGTTGGATTCTTGCATGGTCTTGTGCAATCTTGCAGGATCCTTGCAAGTTCATTGAGCTTTAATTTTTCTCATCGAGCTGCTGGGAGCATTGAGAATAGTTGTGGTATAGTTGTTGGCATGAGCTCGGTAGCTGTAATGGATGGCTGGCAAGGGATTTGATCTCACACAAAATTATATATTTGCGTATTCTTCATCATTGCTAGGTTATTCTGGCCATATCATTGTGATGGGTATGCAAGTGAACTCCACTGTTGGTAGTAACTGGTTCGTAGTTACAAATTAAGAGCATCCATTCCCAGTTTTTCAAGTCCTAAATTAATGACTAGATTTGTGGAAATCTAGGTATATCAATACCTGGGTTACATCTTGCAACCTAGTTTTGGTTGTTACACCCCCCAATATAGTCTTTATATTATCATGTTACGACAACAACTACTACAACATCAAGCCTTTTTCCCACTAGGTGGGGTTTGTAATAATATTATCATATTAGAATAGAAAAAAATATTATAATAAAAGACAGACTGTTGGAAATTGAACCATTAACATTACCTTATATGCTTTATTCATGCAACTTTGGTATTATCATTCAGTTTCACTTTGATTCAATAATATTTTTATCATCATCTATAAGTTAGTTATAAGTGGACGTGCAAATCATAATTGTATAGGAGGTATCCCAACTCTAACCAATAAGGCCATGAACCATGGTCCAAGGTCACATATATGCATCGTTGTGCTCTATATTCATTATTAATTTACATAAATGAATCATACAAGGTATTCTTATTCAATATCAAGCTTGAATAATTTGCCATCAACGAGATACCATGGTAATAAATTCTTCTCCTCATTGATGTTAAAGATACAGAATCTCTAGGATACACCCGTTGATACCCTATAACATAAGGTTCCTCACTTCCTCTATACAGTAACAAAAGTAATTATTATTTTTGGATTTATCAATCAATGGCCAACCTTTTGACATTAGATGGAACCTCATCGCCATACACATGCACAAACCCCTGTTAGATTGGTGCTCTTTCACCCACAATAAGGGAAACTAGTCTCTATCGCCAAGCTTTGACACTATACCATAGGAAGTCTTGAGAACTGCCTAGTAAAATTGCTGGTCCCGACATCTGTGTTAACCAATCACAAACCAAGCATAAATCATTTACCACAAATGCATGAGCTCAACCTCACAGCAAGATGCATGTTCTATTATTTTGAAAGATAATAAGATGACAGGCTCACAAGCTGCAATAAGATCATAGTGTGCATGCTTTTATTTATCTAGTAACCAATTATATAATTACCATCAATCAAAATAATCATCACCAAATATTATTCTTAGAAGAAATCCCCTTATCATCTAAATCTAAGATCTATACACAAAGTTATTGTCTATTAATGTTACTATTTACAGATTAAAAAAAAAAAGCCCAGCAAATTACATGGATAGAAAACCATAAATCAAGAAGGTTAAATCCAGGAAAGATTATGAATTCTTAGAAAAATATTCCATAAGTCAAAATTTGTGCAAATTTGACACCAATCTTAATGTTTCCTAGCTCTTTGTTCTACACCTTCCTTCTACGCAGTCTGATGAGGTCATCGATCAACGGTTCAGACACGTGTATCGCCGGAAGCATCGCCGATCGATGGCCACGATTCAGAGCTTATATTTTTAGTTATTCATGCATTTTCAGTTTTCAGTATTCCTGTTTTACCCTTGTGTGTGAGTGAGTCATGTTGGGGCCCCGAGGGCGATTTAGTCATTATTTATGCTTTTATTTTCTTGTATCTCATGACCTATATATAGGGGTCATGTATCATTGTATGAGACTAATGAATTATTGAATGAAAATTTGGTTTCGTTTCTTCTTACTCTTCTTGCGTGAGAGCTAGAGAGAAGTGAGAGAGAGAGCCCAAGGTGAGGGCCAAAAGCAACACCCATCAGTCATTGGAAGAGTCCGTGACTCGTGGCTTATCCTCGTCATTCCGCTCTTCTTCGTTTTCCCCAAACCCGCCGGCCAAAATTTCAGTTTTGAAATTCTAAAACTCCCTCCCCCTCTATTAGCCGCCGGCCTCCTCATTAATGGGCCCCATGAATGCCCATTAATTACCCCTTAATTCTCTTGCTAATTTGGAACCAATTTCAAATGTCTTTCCCTCCAATTCACACAAATTCTGAAAATTAATTTCAGATTTGTGTAACTCCCTCTCTCCCTTGCTTAACCTAATTCCCCTTCACCCCATCCACCCGCCCACTCCTCCCCTGTCTTGGCCGACCGCCCCTCTCACTCCCTCTCGTGGGAAATTTCAGCAAGAGGAAGAGACGACGGCACCTCTCTCCCTAATTCTCTTCAATGTTGAATGGCGGATCCCGAGCTTGAGTGGGGTCTAGTGTTCAACGCCGACGGGAGCATCAATATCCTACGGTCACCTTGCTTCGACGTAGGATTTGAAGACGAAACCACCGTAGAAGAGTACTTGGAAAGAGTCGTACCAATCCTTGCGAGCATCTACGACCGGAAATTTGCAAAGCACACTTGGAGTCTCGAAAGTCCAGCATTCACGCCCTCCGCGTCATCGTCGGCCTCTCCGTGGCTCAAGACCCTTGGCATCGCAACCTTCCTCGTGGCATCGTATGGTGTGCTGAAATTCTTCTCCCGCAAAGCCTAGTATAGTTGAGTGAGTATTTCCCCAAGGTGAACTTCTCGTTATTAAATGGCGGATTGTTGTAATAGCTTTTAGTGTTGCTACTATTTTTTATTATCTGAAAGTTTTGGCTAATCTACATACTTCTTCGCCTAAGCTAGTTGATAACTACGAAATTTTAATGATTTTCTTGCTATCGCCATAAGTTATTAGTTGTAATTTCTTTGCCAACTCAATTTTAATTTCTTACAAAGCTCCTTGCATTTGGTATCACATCACAGTCACCATAGAAAATCTTAATAAGGTTTCTACAACTAGCTAAACCTATTTAAATAAAGTACTACCAAAAAATTACCTCAAAATATCTGACAATCCTTAATAAAGATATAACAATCAATGCATATGTTCACAGTGATAAAATTTCTTCACGCAAGCATATAAATGCTTGGATCACAACTTAGACGTATGAATGCCTATGTTTTTTGGAAACTTAGGAAGTATTGAACATGCTTCCTTATGTTTTCTGCATGTTTATTTGATCTTGGGATTCCTTTTCTGTAATGAAATATACATAAGACTGTATAGAAGTAAACATATTTCAAATTCTACCAATGCAATTTATTATTTTGCTTGTATAATCGTTACATGATCCAATGATGGCATTCCTACAATTTGTGTTTGTTTTGATGTGGGTAGGTGTCATGTTTTCCCTCTATTCATTTGGGATCTTATATATAAATAGTTCCCTTAAATAGTGGTAAAGGTAGATTTTCCTCATGGTGTCTTAGAATCTGCAAAACCTTCTTCTCTATCATTAAATCCTGAAAACTTCCCTTCAACAAAGTTCACAATTCGACAATAAAAGGTAGGATAATTCTCAAAAGAAAAGTAGGATAATTGGCTTGTGTTGTATGGTATTGGAGAATGAGGAATAGGTGGAAAGAACCAGAAGCACGGCTTCCAAATAGGGCCTATGTGGAAGAAACTCGCTGGTATGAGGGTGGGCTGGATAGAAAGGGAGGAGTTCATGAATAAGAGAGTAAGAGGGAGATGGCTGCTAACTTTTGGTAATTCTACTTGTGTTTTAATCAGGAAGGATGGCTTATGGATCTTTGATTAAGATCCACAAGGAGAATGTGACTCTTGAAGATGGCGTAATAACCGGTCCTGGGTAAAAGTTTGCTTGGACTCTGGCCGAAACAAGGATATTGGCTGTGTTAACTGGTGTTTAGCATTTGTTTTACAATTTTTAAGATCCACCATTTTGTTTTAAAATTTTTAATTTGGGCATGTTTTATGCATACTTTACATTCTCCCTAGTATATTTTGACATATACAAGATCTTAAAGTTTAGCATCAGAACACTGGGGAATGGAGTGGAGGCATGCATGTCTTTGTGCCTTATATCATTTACAATATGATTTGTATTACAGCTGTCTCTAAATAGCAGTTTTATGACCTTATGTTCATTAATGAATTTCATTTTGTGGAATTCATAATCCATTTTTTTCATGTTCAGCTTTAGTTTAAACTTTTTAATTGCATGAATATGCTTGTAAAACCTTCTTTCGTTTAGGTCTTTAGATTATGAACTTATAGCTAGTTTTTGTCAGGAATGGTGCCCAGAAGTTACTTGGCATTCTAATTGCCATCGGAGAGGCAGTGGCCTATGTCCTATCTGGGATGTATGGTAGTGTCAGCCAGCTTGGTGCTGGAAATGCTATATTGATAATCCTTCAGCTTTGCTTTGCCGGTATCATTGTCATTTGCTTAGACGAACTACTCCAAAAGGGTTATGGTCTTGGATCCGGTATTTCACTTTTCATAGCCACCAACATATGGTAATTTTTTGTTTGTCTTATTTCTTTTCATCTTAGGGGGTGTTTGGTATCGGATTTGTCCGTCGTTTTTAATAGGATTTAGCGTAAATCAGCTAAACGCAATCCACGCCGCTGTAAATCCGGTAAATTCGTAAATTCCGTAAATTCAGGATTTACGGATTTACGCATAAATCCGGTAATCCTAATCTCATTCCTATTTGGATTTAACGCGACTTACAGTTGCGGAACTTCTTCTCGCGGCGCCTGTGTCGATATGTGTTGCCAAACAACTTCTCTAGATTTAACAGGATTTAAAATTTGTCATGCCAAACACTTTTCAGGATTTATGAGCGTAGGATTTGCTAAATCCGGATTTACATGATTTAGTAAATCCTACTAAAATTGAATCCAATCATATACCAAACAACTTCTTAGTGTAATTTGAATGACAGCAAAGTCTAGTGTATTAAACATGAAATTTCAAATATTCTTGCAGCGAAAATATCATCTGGAAGGCATTTAGTCCTACCACCATTAACACTGGGAGGGGTGCGGAATTTGAGGGTGCAGTTATTGCATTGTTCCATTTACTTATTACTCGATCGGACAAGGTCCGGGCCCTGCGAGAAGCTTTTTATCGGCAAAATCTCCCAAATGTGACCAATCTGCTTGCTACTGTTTTGGTGTTCCTCATTGTCATATATTTCCAAGGATTTCGAGTGGTTCTACCAGTTAGGTCCAAGAATGCTCGTGGCCAGCAGGGTTCTTATCCGATCAAGTTATTTTACACTTCTAACATGCCTATTATCTTGCAGTCTGCGCTTGTTTCCAACTTGTATTTCATTTCTCAGGTATTTGGTCTTAATCTTTTTTAGGTTGTACTGTTAATCCTAAGTTTAAAAATATCCTTTTCTTTCTGTACTTCTTGCAGTTGCTTTATAGGAGATACAGTGGAAATTTCCTCGTAAATCTACTGGGTACATGGAAGGAATCCGAGTATTCTGGCCAATCTGTACCTGTTGGTGGTATAGCTTATTACATTACAGCTCCGTCGAGGTGATTGGATTTTCTTCTTTTATTTTCTTAATTTTTTTAGGTGTTTTGGGCCTTAATATTCTCTTGCACTTCTTTGTAGTCATGTATTATAGCCTAGTCCTCTTTTTCTGTACTTTTAAGTGTCTTTCCCTGTAATTTTCAAGACAATTACATAGCTTTTATGTTGGAATTCTGTATTGCAGTCTGGCGGATATGGCTGCAAATCCATTCCATGCTCTTTTTTACATAGTTTTTATGCTATCTGCATGCGCACTTTTCTCAAAAACTTGGATCGAGGTATCTGGATCATCAGCAAGAGACGTGGCTAAGCAGCTCAAGGTATTTTTCAGTATTCTTCATTTATAAAACAGTTGTAACTTGCCACGCATAGATTTTTTTTTTAAAGCAATTTTCATAAAATAAACGGGTCTTGTTTGATCGTCTAAAACATCAACCTTTTGATGACCCTGTTAGGAGAGTAGATACATTAGATTCGCTTGTGTTAAGAAAAATAGAGGTAGACCTAAAAAGATTTTGTTAGAAAATATTAGAAATGATATTTTATTTATTAGATTTAAATGTGAATTTGACTCTTAGTATGACACAATGAATGAAAGACTTACTCAAAAAATATTAAAAATGATCTTTTTATTATTAGATTTATCAAGCAAAGTCCCAGTGGCATCCATTTTTTAAGTTTTATACATGTTATTATCCCTCAGGATGAATGTGATATGACCGGAAAAGTGGTAATCGTGAGTTGCCTGTTTTGTGCTTAATGGCTCGTCACAAATTCAAGGCTAGTCTAATTTTTTATTCAAATTTGGAGATTTATATTTTTTTTCTTCCCGTCTAATTTTTTTCATAATCATTATTTTCAGAAAATGAAATTTATTAATCGGTAATGAATTTTATGGACTATGCTAGGATTCTACAAAGGAATGTTTGATGTGTACCACAAAATCACAAGTGGGACAGTGTCTACCCTTTTATGAGTAGAATTTTTATTGGGTTTGGAGTGCGGACGTAGCTCTATGTCCACAACCCTGTAACATCACGTCACGTGGAGCCCACCATTACCCCACAATTCTAATAACCACGTGTTTTTTTTTACAGCACGGCCCGACGACCTACCCTCCTCGCCCTATTCATGAAAATTAAAAAACAAAAAACTTTAATATTTCAAATATGTCACTCATATATTCATTCTTATCATTCATACCATCATATAAACTTTAATATTTCATTCCATGCACACATATTTATTCTATGATTGGTAGATATGTAATATTAAAATTGTAGATGTTAGATATGTAAATAGCATGAAATAAAGTGGGTATGTATGTAAATCCGCCTATTTTTTTAACAAAAGTTTGTTAATGGAACATACAGTTGTAGTAAGAAATAATTGCCCTTGCCCTTGCCCTTGCCCTTGCCCTTGCTATATATATATTTTTTTTTTGGGGAAAAAATGTTGCAGGAACAACAAATGGTAATGCCAGGCCATCGGGAATCCAATCTACAGAAGGAGCTGAACCGTTACATTCCAACCGCTGCTGCTTTTGGAGGCATGTGCATTGGAGCTCTAACAGTTGTGGCAGATTTCATGGGAGCAATTGGTTCAGGGACTGGCATTCTTCTTGCCGTGACTATCATATATCAATATTTTGAGACTTTTGAAAAGGAGAGAGCAACCGAACTTGGCTTCTTTGGCCTATAGCCTCCAATTGAAGAGAGATTATTCTATGCGAAATCTGAATGTATTCGGAGATGAATCCGGACGCGCCAAATCACCGGATGCACTGGGCCCCAGTGATTCGCCTCCGAACATGTTCGGATTCCGCACAGAATAATTTTTCCCCAATTGAAAGTCTCTCCTTTCACCATTGCTAGTCAAACTTGGCTTCTTTGGCCTTCTCAATACCAATTATAGAGTTTAAACTGTAGTGCAGCTTATTTCATCATATTTTTTCAAGCAGCAGAAGCTACTTTTAAAGTCTTTAGATTTACCGTTCTGTAAGCAAATTGAGATTATATGGACTTGGAGAGAGAGGTCGGCGTGCTCATGTTGTTCACAGAGCTGTTGTTGATTTACTCTCCATCGATCTTGTTTTGTTGTGTTATTATTTTGGAAGTATTCATTTCTATTGAATTGATATGAAGTACAGTGTTTGATAGGATGGAAAATATTTTATTTAATTTGTTTATTTGTAATTAATTTTGAATATAAGAAAAATATCACCTTTTAATTTTGAATTAATCACAGTGCGGCCCGACGACCTGACCCGTCATATTCATGATTTTTTTAAAAAAAAAAACTTTAATATTTCAAATATGTCACTCATATATACATTCTTACCATCCATACCACCCTATAAACTTTAATATTTCATTCCATGCACACATATTTATTCTATGAGTGGTAGGTAAGTAATATTAAAATTTTAGATATTAGATATGTAAATAGCATGAAATAAAGTGGGTATGTATGTAAATCCCCCTATTATTTTTAACAAAAGTTTGTTAATGGAACATACAGTTGTAGTAAGAAATAATTTCCCTTCGCCCTTCTGTTTTTTGGGAAAAAATGTTGCAGGAACAACAAATGGTAATGCCAGGCCATCGGGAATCCAATCTACAGAAGGAGCTGAACCGTTACATCCCAACTGCTGCTGCTTTTGGAGGCATGTGCATTGGAGCTCTAACAGTTGTGGCAGATTTCATGGGAGCAATTGGTTCAGGAACAGGCATTCTTCTTGCCGTGACTATCATATATCAATATTTTGAGACTTTTGAAAAGGAGAGAGCAACCGAACTTGGCTTCTTTGGCTTATAGGAATCTGAATGTAATCGGAGATGAATCCGGACGCCCACATCACCGGATGCATTGGGCCCCAGTGATTCACCTCCGAACACGTTCGGATTCCGCACAGAATAATTTTTCCCCAATTGAAAGTCTCTCCTTTCACCATTGCTAGTCAAACTTGGCTTCTTTGGCCTTCTCAATACCAATTATAGAGTTTAAACAGTAGTGCAGCTTTATTTCATCATATTTTTCAAGCAGCAGAAGCTACTTTTAAAGTCTTTAGATTTACCGTTCTGTAAGCAAATTGAGATTATATGGACTTGGAGAGAGAGGTCCGGCGTGCTCATGTTGTTCACAGAGATTTTGTTGATTTACTCTCCATCGATCTTGTTTTGTTGTGTTATTATTTTGGAAGTATTCATTTCTATTGAATTGATATGAAGTACAGTGTTTGATAGGATGGAAAATATTTTATTTAATTTGTTTATTTGTAATTAATTTTGAATATAAGAAAAATATCACCTTTTAATTTTGAATTAATCTAATAAGATTTGCTTACTTTTTAAGTGAGGGGTTGATTTTATTAATACTACAGATTAGAAATGAATTTCCTATAATAATTAGAAATGAAAAAGAGTCAGAGGATAAATTTAATATTTTTATAAAATATATAAAAAACTGATCAAATCAAATACATTTTGTAATATTAGTAGTTCTTTAAAAAGTAAAATGGAATATATCTACATGCCTAATTATCAGAGTTATACCTGAATTAGAGGTAATGGTAAAATTGGTCTCTTGATTTTTTTATAAAGAGCCAAAAGTGGTTCTCCATTATTTAAAAATTTCATTTTAATTTTTAAATAGGGATTTAAATGATCTAGTAAAATGATTATTTGATCAATATTTAAAAAGTGGATTAATAAAATTAATATTTTTATATAATTAGATATTATTTTACTCCTATAGAAAAAATTAGAGGGCAAATTCGACCCTTTTTTAGGTGATTTAACTAAAATAAATGAAGTTTTATAAATTATTATTTATATATGCATTGCACATAAAAGGGTAGACACTCTCCCACTTTCCATTTGCTAGAGCTATATTATTTGATTTATGAGCTTCAAACCTCTTCATTTTCTTGGTCTGTTGGTGCCTTCAAAATACAGTATAGCCAACCACCATAGGTAAGTTGTCTGAATGCTCTTTCCTTATTAATCTGAAACCAAAATCTTCTAATTCAAAATTGTTCAAATAGGGTGATATCACATCCAATCAATACAATTATTATTCAATCACTTAAAGAAGAAGGATTAGGATCCCTCTCATATATAGGATTTGTTAACTCCTAATCCTTTAAGCTTCACCTACCATTGAAATCATATCAACATCAACATCACCATGTTTGCTAAAAGGAAGAAAAAAAAACCTAACTATTATCTTAGCACAGTGGTTTGCTGTTTCAGCCTCAACCACGAAATCTTTGCTCGAGGCCTATCGTATATTGATGTAAGCAGATTTTTGACTAAGGCTTCGTTTGAGACGGCTTTCTTGCTTCTTCTTAAAACAACTTTTTGGTACAAAAATTTTAATTTTTGTAATAGAAAGTTACTTTAAGAAGCACTAAGAAAGTCATCACAAATAAAGCATAAGACAATCATATTAAGTTACAAATTTTGTTATATTTCACTGTTGACATATCTATTTCGGATTGAGTTGACATAAGCCGGACAGAACATGAACATTATTTGATGTTATGTCGGACTTAATTCAAATTTTATCAAGTCAAGTACAAAATGAATATATTCAGGCTGAACCCTAATCCGGCCCATCAACCTAAATTAACATCTCTATCACAGCTCAACAAATGTCATAACCATTACGGTAATATATGATTAGATAGATACCAAATAGATTTGGGCATCAAAGTGGTATTCATTTGTAACACCATGGAGACATTTAAATGGTATTTTTATTGTTATATTCACTATAACATGGTGATGATGATGAGTAGAATGGAAACAAAATAAAGCTATAGCTGCCATATGACAATGCTTGGTGATGAGAGTTCTAACTGTTGTTGTGCGAGTATTCTTCCAAGCAAAGATGAAGAGTTTTTATAAATCTTTTATTCTTTCTTTAATTTCAAGCTACTTCAACCATTCTGATCTATTCCACATACATATTAATAATCTTAAAAATGTATTGATTTGATAACAAATAGTTTTTTTTTTTAAATAAGAAATAGATAGATAAATGAAGGAGAGAGTGTATGATAGAGACATTCATTCATTTTATGTGTGAGATTATCATTATCAATCTTGCTTTATGTTGATAATTAAGATATGATTACATCATTTGGTTTTTTATAATGATTTTAGGTCCAAATCATTAGGAATTCTCACTAATTTGATGTCCATTTGTCCAAACAAAAGCTATATGCACCAAAAAATATATAATTCTTTATTACATCCACATTATTTTACCTAAAAAAAATCTTCAAATTACAATATGAGACATTTACTTACTAAACAATAGCAATTGTTACAAGTCATTGACGATAATCCGAATAAGTTGAATGTATTGATTTCTTTATCACACATAGCCGGCTTCAGCCGGCAACAGATTTGGGTTCTTATAATCATCTCGTCTCTTAAAATTTTTTCTTTACTTCTCCAGAAAAATTTCTCTCTCTTTCTCTCTCTATCTCTCACTCTCTCTCTCTTTCCAGAATCGATTATCTTCTAATGAGTTTGGTGAAGAGCTTCCTCTGTTTTGTGTTGGGAAGCAGGGGAATCTGAAACAGGGCAAAACAGAGGAGATGGGAAGCTTAGGAGATTCTGGTGGGAAGGAGCTGATTCTAAATACTTCAAGCCCAATTCTCATAGAACTCACAAGATTGGAAAATTTACTTAGAGGTTTGTTTTGTTACTGTTTTCTTCTTTGCTTTTATTTATTTCTACTTTTTTGATAGAATTTTAGGGTTTTTTAACACCTCTAGCTTTTGTTTGCCGATTTTCTGATGAGACTATTTTTTTTTTTCTTTCTTTTTGTTTGTATCATATGTTCTTCTATGCAAAGAATAGTTTTGGTAAGTTTTATATGCACAATTATATCTGTTTCTGAACAGTATCAGAATGTTGATGATTAAGCATACAGGATTGATGAAAGTAATATTTACAAGTAAAATTCTTTTTTTACAATTCTGTGAAAGAGCTTGAAAGCACAAGGTCCCATTTCTAAAAAGAAAATGAATTTTCTCACTAATTTTTGTCTGGGCATTTTATATTTATTGCTGATCCTAGATTTGATCTTGACATTCAGACAAGGAGAGAGAGCTAGCAGCTGCCCAAAATGAAAATAAAGCCTTAAAGGGATCAGAATTTCTCAAGGACAAAGCTGTGCTGGAGGTAATTATGGTTAACAAATAAACTTAAAGCAAAAATCTTGAATATCTTTTATCCCCACAAATAAATTTCATCATTTAGAGATTTACTATGTGCTAAAAAATTTCAGCTAAGCAGTGGGTTGAGGAAGTTTGAACAGAAGCTTGAAAGTGCAGAAAAACAGATAGAGGACAAGGTTTTCTTCTACTTCCTGATTTTAAGGGTTTTTTGATTTGTTGATATGAGCTATGTAATGTCATGCTATTAGCAGATATAGCTATTTAGTCTGCTAAACATCTTAAAATGATAATTTCATAGATAACATTATGTCCTATGTTGATGACATTTTGATGTCAATCGAAACTGTTAACATTTAAGGCTTCATTTGGGACAGTTTTTTTACTGCTTTCTAAAACAGCTTTTTTAGCACAAATATTTCTTGTACTATAAGTTTTTGTATTAAAAAGTTGCTATATAAAGCAGTGAGAAAGCTGTCTCAAATGAAGCCGAAATGTGTCAAGCTATTTAACTGATAAACAAAATGATGATAAGAAGAAACATATCATCGCCAATCTTTCTAGATAATATTACATTTTTAATTAACATAATATTGTATCAAGCACCTCACAATTTAAGTGCTGGAACTATGAAAGAGCTTGTGATGATTTGAGAAAAATCCTATAATTTCTTATACAACTATACATATTATAGAAGCAAAGCTTCCCTCCCCTCCTTGGGGCGGAACTAGCCTTAGTTCTCAGGGAGGGCAAGTATCAAACTTACTAAAAAAACTAAAATTATATATAATAGTGCAAAAAAATAATTTATTTTGCACATAATAGTTTTTCACAGACTTGTTTGTTAGTATTAGAAAAGTTAAACATAATCGGATGAATATAGCGGGAAACCAAGAGGTTTTCCGATTTTTGGAGGGACAAATTGCGTGAAAAAAGGTCGGATGGGGGCAAAAAATAAAATTCAGAGGGGCAGATTACAAATAACCCTTACTATACGAAGAATTTTTAATTTTTTGAGGGGAACAATTGCCCCTCCCCCCAGCGCTACATAGTTCCACCCTTGTCCGCTCCCCTCCTCTCCTCTCCTCTCTCACTCTCTCTCTAAGTTTTGAGCAAGCCTTTTGTCCCTTCTCACTTAATGTCTTAGTTGTCATTTTGATAGTACTGGAATGATATTATTAACTAAGTAATATTGAATCAAACAACCTCTCAGATGGCCAACTTAAATGACTTGTACTGATGATGTGAGTATGATGAGTTTCAGAACCTTGAAATCAAGAAGCTAATTGGGGAGAAGAAGGCTGCATTATCAGCTCAGTTTGCTGCTGAAGCAACTCTGAGAAGAATCCATGCAAATCCAAAGGAGGAGGATGATGCAGTTTCTGTTGGGACTCTTACTGCACCACTTGAAGCTGAAATTAAAATGTATAAAAATGAGGTATAGTATTTTAAGAATTGGATGCTAAAGTTATCAAACTAACCATAACATTGCTTTCAGAACTCAAATTTGTTAAACTGCAGATTTCAGCTCTTCAAGAAGACAGAAAGGCTTCCAGTCGTCTTTTGAAATCCAAAGAGTTAGCTTTAGTGGAAGCAGAAAAAAATTTGAATGCTGCTCTTGAAAGGGCTCTAATGGTGGAGAATTTACAAAATCAGAATCTTGAGTTGAAAAAACGAGTAGAAATATGCCTGGTATGGTTGGTTGGACTTTATTTCATTTGGAAAACTTGTAAAATATTATCTTCAGACTTCAAAATGTTTGTATGGATTGCTTTACAACAGTAACATCAAGCTTTTATTTCTCTATTTGGGGTCGGCTATATGAATCTTTTTTTTCTTCATTGTGTTCTCTTAAGAGTCAAGTTCTCATTTAAATTTAATAAACAAAAAATTATTTTTAATACTTTCTAATCAAACTTTTATGGATTACTTTGTAGGAGGAAAATAAATTTCAAGAAAAAATAAATCATCAAAAGGTCATCGAGGTCGAAAAGCTTTCTCAAACTATTCAGGAACTTGAGGAGTGCATTTTAGTTGGTGGCAAGGCCGCTAATGCTGTCCGCGATTATCAGCGCCAAGTTGCTGAATTAAACGTAAAATTTCATTCTGAACATTAATCATCATCATCATCATCATCTGCCAACCCCACATAGTGGTATAAAGGCTTGATATTATTATAGTTCTATCATCATCATCATCATCATACTTGGATTTCCTTGGGGATAGCTTTTTTATTGCTTTTTAAAGCGGTTTTTTAGTACAAATATTTCTAGAAATTGTTGTACTGGAAAGCTATTTTAGTAAGCATTAAGAAAACTGCCCAAATGAAACTTAGTCGAATAATTTGAGACATTTCATTTTGCACAAATCATTTCTTAAGAACTTATAGGCATGTTACGTTTGATCTGCTCTTAACCAGCTAAAAATCGTACCTTGATATGAATAAAATGGTTTTTAGGAAGTGAGAAAGACTCTTGAGAGAGAGCTTGCAAAAACGAAGATCTCTGCAAATCGTGTTGCGACAGTTGTGGCGAATGAGTGGAAAGACGAAGGTGACAAAGTCATGCCTGTTAAACAATGGCTTGAAGAGAGGAAGTTTTTGCAGGTATTAGATGAACTGCTTCACTCATTGGTTTCAGTTTCAAGGATATAATGTTTAGGCATGTTTAACAAATGCCACAATTCATATTTCTGAGATTTGCAGCATCTAATAACATTAAGAACATAATAGAATTTATTGTTGCAGGTTTATATAGTCTAATTTCTACTGTTCAATAGTTCTCTATTTTTTTTCTGTTAAATATTATAAGGGTATACTTTGTGTAAAGTATAAATCTTTTGAGCCATGTAATATTTCAATTTGTTGTGATCTTATCATGACTTGTATTTAGTTCTTATTGTTGGGAAGTAAATCATGCAACGAAACAAAAAAGTAAATAAAATAGTGAAAAATAGACACTAGGATTTAACTTGAAAAAAACCCAAAACTAAGAAAAAAATCATAGTCACACAACACCAAGAAATTCACTATTAAAATTTGAGAAAGTATCTGTCACTCTCCTTGTCTCACTTCACATTCCATTCTCTATACAAAATAGACAAAGAGATGAACTTAAATTAAACCAAGGGATGCACCACTTCAAGTTAAGCATGAAAATGAAAAAGAAAAATGTACAACCTGACTCGCAGCATCGCATCGTGGTGCTACGGTTTAGAGCGCCGCAATCCTCCACTCTCTATCTCCAACCTAATTGGCAAAGCTAGGGTTTGCAGCACCGTTAAGCTTCACTCTCTATTTCCAACCTGATACAACACTACAATGCTTGAGTATACAACGCTGCAGTGCTGCATGGTTGTACAAAAACATTTTGGGGGCAAGACCCCTAAACCCAAGCAGGGGGAACCCCTCTGGTAAATCCTCAGCGAGCTAGACTAATAGAATTGAAGTTTGAGTCAAAAGTACAACATGATTGACACAAGCAGACTCCACACAGAACTATCTTTCATTTTAACTCTTAACAAATATCCGGTTTGAATGATTACATATCTATATAATTTCACGTGCGAACTTACAATGATGTGATTGTAGGGTGAAATACAACGGTTAAAGGACAAGTTAGTTATATCAGAAAGAAGTGCAAAGGCAGAATCTCAACTCAAAGTAAGAGGCAACAATTTTTTTTTTAATATGTTAACATCATAGTATTACATTGTAAATTAGACGATGCATGATTTTCTTCTATATTTGGCTATTTTCAGGATAAATTCAAGCTTCGTCTGAGAACATTGGAAGATTGTTTCAAGCAAGTAACAGCTTCATCAACCATTAAAACTACAAATTCTGATCAGAACATCATATTTTCTTCCTCAAATAATGCGCAACAAAAACGTTCTATGTCTCAACCAAGAGCTACTTTTGCTTCTGCAAGTAAATTGTCAGTAAAGCAGCAGTCTAATTCTGCAACTAGAAGCGCTGATTCTGCCAAAACTCTACTGAGATCAAATAGCCTGAAAGGAAACTTCATTTCAAGTGAAAATGTTATAAGAAAGAACTTACGGACTTCTCGAAGTAAATTTTATGATGAAAGTGGAAAGGAGAATGTTGCAAAGAGGAATAATGTTGATGATCATGAACATGTTGGTGATTCTATTCCTCAAGAAAATGATGATTCAGAAGTTACTACAAATGAACATCATAACATTGAATCAAATACTGAGAATCAACAAGATTTATGCGAAGATTTTGTTTCAGGTTTTCTGTATGATAGATTGCAGAAGGAAGTTATCATTTTAAGAAAATTGCAAGAGGAGAAAGATGAGATGTTGAATGTTAAAGACGATGACATCAAGGTAAAATATGATATGATATTGATGTTTCATACTTAACAAAGAATTTTTTTGGTATTTTTTTCTTCAGATTTCAATTCTCTTCTGTACATACAGTTACTTAAAAGAAAAGTAGATGCACTTACAAAGGCTATGGAGGTGGAGACAAAGATTATGAGAAGAGCAGTTGCAGCAAGAGAAAAGGAAGCTCTTCAGAAATCAGAGGATAATAAACAAAAGATCAGAACTGCTAATATGATTAGAAGGTAAAAGATCAGAACTTGATATTCTGATAATTTGATGTGATGATGTAAATCTTTTTTAATTCAAGATTCTGTCTCATACATTGCAGGACATTGAAGCTTTAAGTCTGCAGAAACTCAAAACATAATTATCTGAAGAGCTATGGTGTACAGAATGAAAAAAAAAAAAACATCTTAAAGTATTACTATGCTACAAAAATCTATATGAAATTTAGTGTTGTGAGCTGATAGTTCGGTGACTTTGTATATTCTCAGAAATACACACTGTTGATGAACACTGTAAGATTGCAGATGCCTGAGAGAGGTTAATGAGTCTAATTGTGTGTTTCTCTGTTCTTTTTATTAACTAGAAAGGCCAACAAACATATAAAGATGGAGATAGTAAAGTATGATCCTTCTTCTAAGGTTTAAACCTTAAATCTAAAAGTAAATAGTAGGGAATATTTTGATTTTGTGAAAGTAAAATTAATTTCAACATTAAATATTAGCAAATTTAATCGTTTTTGTTGATTTAACATTTAAAATTAAAATTAAAATTTTTATAATATAGAAAATATAAATAAGATTAGAGTTGGTATTAGATGAATATAATTTGCTTATATTTTTATTGATTTGTATTTTAAAGTAAAATGTCTTATCCATCTCTTAAGAGAATAAAATTTTTTGGAAAAAAATAATAATATCAGGGTGTTGCTTGATGATGTTAACCTGTGCTAAAGATGTCGAGAAAATCCACCAATGATGTTTGACATATCCGAGATTATTTGTCAAAGTGTTGTTCGATGATGTTAACCTGTGTAGAAGATATCGAGAGAAATCTACAAAAGATGTTAGACCTATCCAAGGTTGTTTGTCAGAGTATCACTCGATGGTGTTAACCTGTGTTGAAGAGGTTGGGAGAATCTACCAATGATATTTGACATAACCGAGGTTGTTTGCCAAAGCATTGCTTGATGGTATTAATCTGCAAAATAGGCCAGGAGAATCTACTAAGGATGTTTGATCTATCCGATGTTCTTATAGAATTGATGCAATAATAGCTGATAATTGAGGAGTGATAAAATAATATCAACTTGTTATTACAATGAAGTTTTCCTCAATATTGAAGAACTTCTTTCAAACCTAATAATAGGTTATGATAAATGGACTATCTCGCTTCAATCATTCCCAATATATTGAGGTAAATGACCTCTCAATATTGAAGCAACAATTGCCCCCCATCCATTAATCACTTTCCTACAAAATTTATGCAGTTATAGTGATAGACACGTTTTCTTCTCTTTGAAGTTACCCTTAAAAGTGTAAGATTTCTTTAGAACATGATATAGGGACCGCATTGATTCAACTATGCCAACGATCTTTCGAGGTTGAAGTAACAATTGCCCCCCCCCCCCCACACACACACACAATCAAGAACTAATTTGCCATAAATAGTGTCAAACTATTACATCTTGAAATATTCACGGTGATAGAGAGATAAAATTTAGCATCATAACCTTATATGAAGATCAAGCACATAGATAGATAAAAGAGTAGGGTGCAACATTCATAGGAGATACTATAGTTTTTATGTGGAAATCCTAGAAAATGGAAAAAAAAAAACTACGGGACCTGACCCATTTTTAATAAATCTACTAGTATTAATGGTTGATCATAAATAATATCCATCCTCGAATGAGGATGCTAGCTCAATACAACCAATACACATTTCATATATCTCATTACATGATAATTATTCTTAAAAGAGTGTTGACATGTATGTTTGGTCAGTAAGACTATAGTGGACATGCACAGGTGATTGTAGTGACCGTAGTTGACTGGCGACGGTGGTCAGAGGGACCATAATCGATGGGCAACAGCGGTCGAAGAATCCATAATAGAGGGGTGATGGTTGTCGGAGGGACTACAGTTGGCAGACGAAGGTGGTCAAAAGGATCGTAGTCGATGGGAAACAGTGATTGGAAGAATCATAGGTGATGAGTGACAGTGGTTGAAAGGATCGTAGTGGGAGGGCGATAGTGGTCGGAAGGACCGTAGTCAACAGGCGACGATAGTCAGTAGAGATCCGCCTTGTGGTGCAAGCTTGAGAAAGCAAGAGGGATCTTAGTTTTTCTTCTCTTCCCTCTTTTTTGTGAAGAATGAGAGGTATATTTATAGTTTTTAAAAGTGACATGGCTAGTAATTAGAGAAAAGATCAAGGACATATTGGGAGTATTTCAATGGATAATTGATATCATCTTCCTCTATCTTGGATCATTTATCGAGCTTTTGAGTGTTAGTGATGTTATAATTCAGCAATCTTGGGGTCGTTGGATTCTTCTTGTCAAGCTGCTCGGTTCGACTATAAGCATGTCACATTTGGTCATCCAATTAATGTTCTGGAGCTTCAAGTAGGCTTCGAGCCCTCGACTTATACCCATATGGGTTCGAATTTGACCGATTATGATGTCGTTGACTTCATCTCTTCGAGACATTCAATTTGATTAGAAGTTTATTGAAATCGAAGTTCGGATGGTCATTGATTTAATTTTAAAATTTTTGTATTCACATTTGCATCGAGATTCATACCCGATCAAGGTAATTTTTTGATGGAGTATCAATAATATATTTTTAAGACATTAAATTTATTTGATTACATATTAAAACATAAATTAAATTAAATTTTAAAAATAAATAAAAATCATCTCAAACGGTCTTTATGCTTTTTAAGAAAATCTAACGGCCATATCTTGACGGCGCAGTTATAATCATAATTACGTTGATACTTACATATAAGTAAATAACCTAAGATATTTGCGTTCATTAATTACAGCCATCCTCCATTTTAGACGGCTGTGATTATTTCAATCCCAGCCAGAAATAAGAATTTTAGGGTGAAAAATTGGAAGATTTCTGTTAAATATGATTGATTACAAAAAATTAAGAATGATTGTGATCGCCCTTCGAATCTCTATTGATTATATAATGATTAAGAGAAAATACAATAATTATATAGTTTGATTGAAAGGTTTGACTTGATGTAGTCATCTTTCACGAGCTCCTAAGTAATCACGAGCATGATATATTTTACCAGTCGAATGGCCGGATTGTCAATCAGCAGCTTGTCTTGATGAGTCATTACTCTTATAATAGTTTGTACGGCCACCTTCACAAATAGTAATTATCACGGCTGGCTGATTGATAAGTTATTCTCGCCAACTGTGATGAGTTCTTAGATCATGATCGTCTACTTTCGACAAAATTTCTAATAAACCGACGAGTTTGAGATGAATCGATTGGATTACTTGGATTAAATCGACTAGATTTAGCTTGAATCGGGTTTTTGGATATTTAGGTGTACATCATATGCAGATAATCTCATCAAACAATAAAAAAATAATTTAAATTATTTTGGTCGAATTGGAATATCATTACACATTAAAAAATCTTTTATAAATCACCATAAGCCACAGTAATTACTAATTAGTCAAAACAACCAAACAAATTACAAATTCTTACAACATAAAAATAGGGCGAAAAAATGCTCTTTTTTTATTTTTTTTTCAAACTGCACCTTTAAAAACAACTTATTACATAACACTACACTGCGGAGGAGCAGGAGCCCCTTCACAATCAAAGGAGAATTGATAGGTGACCGGCTTACCGACAACTGGCAGTGAGCAGGGCCCCACCCCTCCACACCCGCAGTTGCAGCTTCGACAGATGTCATTGCACCCCACATAACACGGTCGGCGATGGCAAACCGGAACCGGTATGGGTGGCCCAACCGGCCAGAATGGCAAGTAAACCGGTTCAGGCTTCCTCGGCGGCGGGGGCGGCGGGGGCGGCGGGGGCGGCGTGGGCTCTATTATGTTGATATTCTTAATGGCTTCACAAGCCTTGCAACAGAGCTTATTCTTCAGCTTGACGGGATCGAACGGCCCAGAAATCGTCACTGTATTCTTCTTCTCATCGTACTCTATTTTCTGAATGCGCTCTCGTTCTAAATTTAACTTAATTAGCCATTTAACAAAATAATTAGAGCAATTAATGAATATTAATTAAGATTTTCAATTTTAATTTACCTTGGAGTTTGCAAATGGCCTTTTTTATCTTCTTGCTGCAAAGACGGCACTCCAGATCAACCGTCAAGATTAGTGTTGGGGTCTGGGAGAAATGTTAATTACTGATTAGCTTAATGAAGAGATTAATTAAGATAAATAAAACAAATATGCTTTCATTAGAGGAAATAATTATGAGAGAAAGGCTTTTTATTCTTCAAAATTATAAGAGAAAATTGTAATTAACTCATCTCATAGAAATTATGCCTTCTTAGTTCAATTTGAAGATAAAATAAATTTTCATAAATAAAAGAGAAAGCTCATACCCCCCCTGCCATTCTTTGAGATAATGAGCGAGAGAGTTATAGAGATAGAGAGAGAGAGAGAGAGAGAGAGAGAGAGAGAGAGAGAGAGAGAGAGTTGTGAAGATATGTGAAGGCTCGTAGGTGCCAATATATATATACAACTTTGGGAGAGTTAGGTGCATTATTTTGTGTGCAAATTTATGCTTTTACATGGGTTAATTATTTATAAAAATGATTTATTTTTATTTATTTTACATAAACATTTGTTTTTCTTTTGAATATAATATTTGATTAATAAATAATAGTGAATTATAAATAACATTTTTAATATAAATTTGTTATTATTTTATTAAGTTTGTTTTTAAATTTTATATCATTTCTAATGTTTTAAGTTTTTATTTATAAAAATAAAAGGCTATATATTTTATTTTTATATTTGAGAAATTTGGGAGGCACAAATTAAACATTTTTTAAAATTATATCTATGAAACATAAATATGTGATGCATAAAAATATTTTAAATTTTTAAGGGTGTATGCCCCTAAGCCGCCTTAAATCTACCATGTGTATATTGACTTGGTGTTTTTTAATAAAAGAAAATAGTCTTAATTTATATATTTATATATATTGACTTGGTGGAAGTCAATTGAATAAAATAGTTTTTCTAAACAAATCATATCAATCAATTATTTTTTTAATTTTTTAAAAAATGATAAATAAGCAATAAATCATAAAACATGTGCTTGAACCTATAATCTTAGAGATTTTTTTTTCTTTCAATCATTGGGCTACAAATTCTTCCACCCAATAAAATTTTCTATTAAATTAATTCGTGTCTTAAAATTTTGAAAACACTATATATATATATATATAATGTTTGAAAGGGCTATAGAACAACTATGATGAAATTGGTCTTCTCTTAATACTTAAAACCTTGACTTAAATGACATTGGCCATGTGAACAAGCAAAAATTTTCCTAGGCTCATTTCGGATCTATTTATGATAACTTTCTCTGGTTGCTTTGATTTTCAAATAGAAATCACAATTTCGTTTCGTTGTTGCTTTCTCTTTAATTTTCAGACATTTTCTATGATATAAAACTACTTTACATAATCATAGTACGTAGCTATGTAGCAAAGTTTTATTTTTTTCACGGAAACTTCATAATTAATTACTTTATGAAACACTAAAGTAATCCCGAACGAATTACTAATCTGACTGTTTGGTTTTAATATATTTTATTTTCACGCATTTTTTGATAAAAAAACTATATCATAAGTTTGAGGACATTATGTTGGAAAATATCAAATAATAAATCTAATAAGTTTCAAAATTCAATAAAATATTATTATTTTTTTCAGACATGAAACAAGCATATGAATCCAATTGTTCTAAAAATCACCAAAGTCATATAAGCCCTTTTTAAGTAAATTCTATCCATTTTCAAAGCATTAAATCATACAATGAGAATAACTACAAAAATTGTTTAATATGATGAGACAAATCACAAATTCTCTTTAAAATAATCATGCATATTCTTCACTAAAGTGGCATCTTTGTATTAAAATATTTATCAAATAATATTAATTAAAATACTAATTAAATAAATATGCGAATATTACTTTAAAAATATATTTTCTTTTTGAACAAACAATGCCACTTTTTTCTCTTTTTATTTTATTTGCCCTTTTTAGTGAAGAATTTGCATGATTTTGTAAAAGGAAACTATGACTTGTTTCATCATATTAAACAATTTATTGTAGTTGTTTTCACTATCTGATTTAATGCTTTGAAAATTGATACAATTTTCTAATTAAGGGGTCTTAGATCTTTGTTAGATTTTATTGCAGTTGGATTCATTTGATTGTTTGAAATTAATTGTTTTTAATGAGCAGATTTATAAGTAAAGTGAAGAGATTTTTTTTTTCTTTTTCATAAATATACTTACAACTAAAATTTGTTCTTAGGACGCTGCCTTGTGACCCTTATTTGTTCATATCCTTAATTGTTGTACGCTTCGCAGATATGTCGGGGCTCCAAGGTGATAGCGCCCCCTGACGGGGTTCGACCAGTCCGGTCAGGTCGCAGGGTTTCTCGAGGCAGCGCCCCTTAAACAAATTTTGGTTGTAAGGATACTTTTGGATTCTCTTTGTAATTGTTTCTTCATTCTCTAACAATAATATCTCTACATAATGTGTTTAATTATATTGGGGCAATTGCATAAAGACCATAGTACTTCAAAACTTTTTAAGGGGGGCATTTGTTTAAAAATCCTTATAATAAAGAATAAAAAATACATTGAGCAGGACAAATTATCTAAATAATCATATAATAAAGAAATTTTTTTTTTCTTCAGGGAGGGCAGCGCCCCTTGGGCTTAAGGTGGATCTGCCCCTGCTCGTGAGCTCATTAGTAAGTCAAATTCTAGCTCGATTCATGTACTTACACCCCTAGGTCCAATTGGCATCACATATAACTTGCAACCAATAAAATAGACCACATAACCTATGGAAATAGAACATCAGCATATAAAATATATATATACAAAAATTTTGTACACATTCATTTAATTTGAAACTGTTGTATTTTAATATGATTTAATAGTAGAAAAATATAACGTTATTTTCTCATATATAAATATAATGTCCCCCTCCTTTCATTAAATAGAAAAAATTAAAGGTGAGTGAAATATAATAATTCTCAAAAGTCCATAATAAAATAATAATATATTTGGTAATAAAATTTAAGTGTATAAATTTCTTGTAATATATTAGCTCATTCTTTACTTATCTATAGATGGAAAATCCGGCTGTTGTTTGATCTGTATATTTGGATTATGCATTTGTTGCATAAAATTTTATTACCAAAATATATTTCTATATTTGATTATTTCTATTACCAAATATAAATTTCTATTACCAAAATAATCATATATTTATTATTATTTGACTGCAGAGAAATTATAATTTAATTTAATTTTTGGGTGAAAAAAGCTAAGGAAATACACATAAGTTCAAATTATTTATCCTCTTCTTTATCAAATCATCAATTTAGTAAGTTTCTTCCTTTTCAAAGAATAGGTTTTGTTTGCGATAACTTTCTTACTACTTAATTTCTAAAGCAGCATTTTATATCTAAATAAAAAAGTCATTTATAAAACTTTCAAATCATGTCTTCTTAAGACTACAGCTATCTTTCTTAACATATACCAAATCTAATACATGCATTCTCCTAATCGGGTCATCGAAAAGCTGACATTTTATGTGAACAAATCATCTAAGACAATTCTCTCTAGCACTGAGTTCGACGACGATAAACTAAATTGCTAGATGAAGTCATTGACTTGCTATATGAAGTTGCCAATCTATTAGAAGAACTCGCCCTACTTGGGGTGTGGTTAACTTCCTAGGTGAAGTCACCACATTAGCGAGTCGTCCAAAGGATAATTCAAAATATTTCTAAAAAAATGAGTTGTTCATGAGAGATCTTAATATATTCAACTCAACTTTTACATAAAATATTTTCTTACGTTTTAGATTGGACAAAGTTTTAAAATGAATTCATTTGAAATTTTTTTAGCCAGAAATAAAACGAATATACCCGGACCGGCCGGTTACGGTTCTTGTTTATATAGTTACTGGATTTTCTATGGTTGATTTTTCATTAACCTTTCTACTTATTTTGTCCTACTTGTTCGCCATGTCTACTACCAAACTCAATGCAGCCGTCAAGACTAGTTTCTTATGCAATATGCTGCAGTTTGCTGTTTGCTTTCCTTTGTTATTGCTGCCTTAGAATATTTAAGGGTGATGGTGATGATGTAAAGATTATCCATAATCATATCATTAGGTTTTATTTCATTGTAAAATTTGCATTTCTATATTAATATGTTTCTGAATCATACCAGGAATCTAATTCCAAGGTAAAATTTGCATTTTTTTACAATCTTAGTTCAATTATAATCCTTGTCATGCCCAGATTGTGTATAGTTCCTCTTAAATCTGAATGTTTATCATGATTAGGTGCAGCAAGGTTAGGTTTAAAGTGAATGTATTAGAAGAAAATTTCTCATTCATTTTTTTAATTTTTAATAATATTATTATTTATAACATCATCTTGTTCGTTGTCCGGCCCGATTTTCACAAGCTTGTATATATATATGATGCCAATCGTTATCTTAGCAACCGATTGCTTTGTTGGGGTGGCGGGCGGGCTGAATTGATCCGGAAAGGTGGACTACATAATAATTATTATGTTAATGGAAAAAAATAGGAATGGATATATAACGAAAAAAAGGAAAGAAAATTGAAAAAAAATAAAAATAAAAAACAAAAAATGAAGAAATTGAAAAAAAAAAAATACTAGTCATTAAAATAGTTAATGGTTTATCGAATTCGAACATTATTTGAAGCTAATCAAGCTCGCGCACGAACAGACCTCTGCTCGACTCGTCGGCTCGACGAGCAACTTGCAGAGGTGACCGGGTGGGAAAATGAAACTTTGGTTTAGGAGAGCGGGAGGACGAATCAAAGACAAACGGGAAAATAAAAATGTCGGAGTTTGGTCGACGGCGGAACTACGGACGACGCGGAGTTTGCGTGTTGCTCAACGGAGGAACTCAGAATAACCGAGCTCGTCAACATAGCTTGGGACGACAAAGGCTGAAGGTTCGGAGCTCGCGTCACTAAAGGAAAATAGTGTATTTCTGGCAGATTTTCCAGAGGAAAATTCTGAATTTTATAGTGGATTTCCTGCGAAAACAATTTCGACGGTAAATCGAGTGTTGGAAGCTTTTATGTTGAAAAAAAAAAATTGATGGAAATTTTTTCCGACGGAAAAACTACGCCGGAATAAGTAAAAAATGATTTTAAAAATATAGTTCCCACCCCAACCCGCAGAAGCGTCGCATGAGCTGCCCCCGCTCGCCCGTAAGTGCACCTGGGCCCAGCTCGCGCCCAACTTGCCCGTAGTGTGCCCACGCCCGTGCACAGCGCCCCCGCTTGTCCGTGCGGAGATTCAAATCAAGGACCTCTTCGTTTTAAGAATGTCAACCACTCTGCTTTGATGTAAAATATGTTAAAATATTAAATATTTTATATTTAAATAAATTAATACAAAAAATTTAAAAAAGAAAACTAAAATATTAACTAATTCATTAATATTAATATTAAATTTTTTAATAAAATAATAAGTCAAAATTATAAATAAAGAAGTTAAAGTTATTAATAATATTATTAATATTAAAGTTATTAATATAATAATAAGTTAAAGTTATTGATATTAATATTAATATTAAAGTTATTAATAAAATAATAAGTCGCCGGAAAATCTTCCTTAAAATATGTCTAAAATATTTCATCTTTATACGTCGGAAAGCAGCCAGAAATTCCGTCAGTAATGGAAAATTTTCTTTTAGTCTGTGCTTCTAGCAGGGCTATAGCCTGGCTCGCGGCTTCGGGATGGAGCTCAAAGATCAATGTAGCATGGGATGATGCTCAATGACGAAGGTCGAGAAGGAGCTCGACGAGGCGCTCGACATGAAACGATTCGAGCTCAAGCTCGTCTTTTGAACTCGACTCGAGTTCGAGCTTGAACTCAGTATTTGGCAGTCGAGCTGGACTCAACTCAAACAACCCCTGGCTCGAGCTCAACTTGACTTGTTTGCACTCCTAATTCATTTCGGCATGGTAATTTAATTTTTTTATTTTTATATTAATAAAAAAAATTTAAACTATTTTTAGTTTTTTACTTTAAAAATTTGCTCCGATATATGTTTTTAAAATAAACATAATTATGTATCCCGAAATAAGTTTTTAAAATAAATTTAGGTTGTCCACTATGCCAGCTCAGTTCAGCTTGCCAGCTTGATTCAGGCTCCCCACTTTAGATCAGGCGCCCGCCACCTTAGCAAATGAATTTTGTAATTTTTATATTTAGTTTGAAATTTATGTGATTTTTGAGGCAGTTTTTTTATTATTTCTTTTATGATTTAGAGTCTCTAATTTTTTTATTTTTCAAATCCAATTTATAATTTTTATTTTATGCCTATTTTTTATTACTCAATTTTATAGAAACTGCAGCTGAGCCTTAATTTAGACCAAAATATTCTTTCCCTTAATTTCTAAACTGAAAATCGAATCATGCCTGCAATTATCAGTTGGATGAGACGGGGAGAACGCCATGCCCTTCTCTGCAACGGCTTCCAGCTTCCTCTCCGCGATCTTCGTCTTCCCCAAGTTTTTCTGCCGCCTTAACAGACCGAGCCACCTCCCATTCATTACAAAGCCACAAAGGCCTAGGGTAAGAACACCTCCCCCGGCATTGACGTTGGCAACCTTCGTCTCCGTCATTGGAGTTTCTGGATCGACCTGGCGAGCTCCAGCGGCTTTCTTTCCATTTCCTTGGAAGATCTGATCGTATCGGCGGCCTACTAATCTCAAAGGCTTTTTCTTTATTGAAAGATACGAAAAACATGGCTACTGTAAAGCTGGGATCCAAAGCGGAAGCTTTCCATCTCGATGGCCATTCATGGTCTGTGTATTCGCTATTTTATTTAAATCTTGTCGATCTTTTTTTGTTTTTCCTTTAAATGTTTAAGAAGGATTTGTAAAGTCATGTCCAAATGGTGGAGGTGTCAAAGATTTCTATTGTTGATATTCAATATTTCAATTAGGAATTATAGAATAATTATCATGATTAGATGTTCTAATCATTATCTTCTTGTGTATTTTCTTGAAAAAAAAATGATAGGAAACACAACTTATTTGCTTTTGCATTTGAATCAAGCTAATTAAATTCTTCTCATTTATTTTTTTTATGCTTCATTTCATACTAAACTAGCTTTGGTTCCTTCCCAGGATTTGCAACACAGAACTTCCAAGTGATATTACCATTGAAATAGGAGAAATATCTTTTCATCTTCACAAGGTAAGCTTTTTCCTGTTATGAATATTACTCTACAATTCCTTATAGGATTTAGTTTTTCCGCAAAACAAGCATTTTTTTTTACGAGAAATTATCCTTAGAAGTTCTCTAAAAATAAAGTCTAACTATTGATGTCACTTACGGAAATTTAACTCTTCCATTTTTTTTTCCTTCTTAACTCTCATTAATTTCTTGCAGTTCCCATTACTCAACAGGAGTGGCCTCCTTAAAAAGTTGATCAATGAATATCAAGATGAAAATGGAAAAGGCTGCATTTTGCAGCTTCATGATCTTCCTGGCCGTTCAAGAATATTTGAGCTTGTGGCAAAGTTTTGTTATGATGTTAAAATTGAGTTAAATTCTTACAATGTTGCTGCTCTACGATGTGCTGCTGAGCACCTTTGCATGACTGAAGAATATTTTGGAGGAAATCTCATCTCCCAAACTGAAAACTTTCTGAACGAAATTTTTGGGAATTGGAAAGACTCAATGAAAGTTCTTGAAACCTGCGGGGATCTTCTTCCCCTTGCTGAAGAACTGCATATTGTAACTCGATGTATCAATTCACTGGCAATGAAAGCTTGTGCTGATCCAAATCTCTTTGGTTGGCCAATGTCGGCTCGATCTTCCTTGAAGAGCTCAGATGGAAACATCTTATGGAATGGCATATCCACAGAAGAGAAGCCAAAGGCAATTGAGTCAGATTGGTGGTATGAAGAATCCTCCTCTCTTAGTTTCCCTCTGTACAAAAGGTTGATATTGTCCATGGAATCAAAAGGTATGAAGGCAGAAAATATTGGAGGGTCTCTCATATTCTATGCAAAGAAATATTTTCGAGGATTGAGTAGAAATTCCAGCTTTCATGATGGCACTAGCCGTCTTATTCCTGTTCCACCTGCATCTGCATTGTCTGAAAGTGACCAAAGGGTTCTCTTGGAGGAGATAGTTGGATTGCTACCCACGGAAAAGGGAGTAATCTCCACAACTTTTCTTCTTCGCTTGCTTCGGACTGCAATGATTTTGCATGCAGGCCCTGCTTGTAGGGAGAATTTGGAGAAAAGAATTGGAGCCCAATTAGATGAAGCTTCCCTTGAGGATCTTCTTATACCAAACTTGGGCTATTCGGTTGAAACCCTTTATGATATAGACTGTGTTCAAAGAATGCTTGATCATTTCATGTCGATAAACCCGACTGATCTCACAGGATCTCCTGCTATAGCTGATGAAGCTCAGTTGATTGACACTGTTCCTTCATTGACCCCTATGACCATGGTCGCAAAACTTGTGGATGGATACCTTGCAGAGGTTGCACCTGATGTTAATTTGAAGTTTCCCAAGTTTCAGGCCCTGGCAGCATTAATTCCCGAATATGCTAGGCCTTTAGATGATGGTATATATCGTGCTATTGATATATATCTTAAGGTAATATTTCGTTCACTAAATCATTCTAAGTTGTTTTGTTAATGATCATGGCGTGATCAGCTTGAAAACTGAACTTAATATTCTTTAAACATTTATTGAGAATCATCTAAGTTTATTTTCTTTCTAATTAGCATGATCTATTCACATAAGATCTTATTCTCTTAGGAGCTTGGTTAAATTTAAACAATTTTCCTCTTATTGACAAGATTGTATATTTATTTGATGCATTCTCAAAATTTGATTTCTTTTTGGCGAAGATCAGATCATTTTGTCTTGACTGCGGAAATTTTCCCAATACTTTTGCATTGCAGTCTCATCCGTGGCTTACAGATTCTGAACGGGAGCAGCTCTGTCGTCTTATGAACTGCCAGAAGCTATCACTGGAGGCTTGCACTCATGCAGCACAGAATGAGAGGCTGCCCCTCAGAGTAGTCGTCCAAGTTCTCTTCTTTGAGCAACTCCGCCTGAGAACTTCAGTTGCAGGATGGTTCTTTGTCTCGGAAAATATGGATAACATTGATGTTGTTGACAATGGAAACTTGATCCAGCCAAAGAACAATGAAAGAAACCCTGATAATGAAATCACGCTGGAAGAGAAGGATGAGATGCCGCTGATGGAAACTGATGACATGAGGCAGCGAATTGCTGAGCTAGAGAAAGAGTGCAAAAACATGAAGAAAGAGATTGAGAAGCTTGGGAAGCCCAAGAGTACTTGGAGCGCCATCTGTAAAAGGTTTCCCAGGCTTGGTTTCGGATCAAGATCTGAACATCAATCCAGCCAAACATAATAGGTACATAAGAGAGTAGTTAAGCATGCTAGCTGATGGATAACATGGTCTTTTTCTTCCAAAGGAAAGACAACATTTTCATTTTTGTTGTTCTGTCAGAAATAATTTTGAACTCAAGTAGCTTTAAATTATAGGTTAGATTAGTGCTCTTCTGTTGAATATTTTGTTTAAATCATTTGTTTCATTTTAATGTCCATCATAGTACGTTAAGGTTGAAGATCGGCTCTCGATTCATTTGCCATCCTTGTCAACAATTCCTTGCTCAACCATTCTAATTTACTATTAATGTAAACATGGAAGTATGGGAATACACACTGTCTGTTAGAAGGATAGAAAGTTATGATAATCATGAGAAGATTACACCACCATCATCTCTCAAGAAAAAGAACATAGATTGGAAGAAAGATGAAATTTAATGGTTTTCACCCAAACTGCTACTCTGAACTCAATGAAATCATAACAGGCTTCTGCTTCTTGTTAACAAATGATGTCTGCGTCAAAAACTGTATTATAAATCTGCAATGGCAGCCAAAGAACTTGTGCATGGATAGTCTTTGTATCTTGAGTTGTCTTTTTTATCCCTACATGAAAACATTAAACAACTTCATTGTTTAGTTGAGCTTGTTTAGAATTACTAGAGAACTTAACCTCAGCTTTTATTCATCAAATTTAGTTGTTTTAAATAACAGATCTTAGCAATATAGTTTATAAGATGAGAGAAGCTCATAATTATGTGATTTTTTTCAAATTTTCTTAAAATTTTGATCTTATTGACAATATATAAGAATAATATATGATTCAAACCTCATGGAGTATTTAGTATAAGAATAATTTAAGCATTCCAATTATTATTTCAAACCCAACCTCTATCATAAGAGCTACAGAAATTTTCTTCAGTGGAATTTGTTGAGCATTGATTATAGCCTCAAATTTTGTATAACTTGTTGAGGCTAGAATATACGCGGCGATAGTATTATAATTCTACATCTTAGCATTGCGCGGATATCCAACTCACACATAGAGAGCACAAGATTTTTTACGTAGAAAATCATGGAAAGGGGAAAAACCACGAGGTCTGACTCAGTTGAAAATGATTCTACTAGAATTCGAGTAGATACAGTGGGCCGACTCTTCCCTAAGGGAGATCAGATTACAAATGCCAACTATATGGTTGAAATCTAGTGACAAACAAGGGTGAAAGTTTGGTGTCACTTGGTAATATGTCGGAAGTCTGGCGTTACTTGAAAATTTGGGCTTCAGTTGGTAGTCTGATGGGGACAGAACTTCGGCATCGAGCGGTGGTTCGATAGAACAACGGCGTCAGGTGGTGGTCCGGTGGAAATCTAGGCGTCAGGTGGTGGTCCGGCTGAACTCCGGCTTCGGGTGGTGGTCCGGCGGAACTCCGACGTCAGGTGGTGGTCCGGTGGAACCCCGGCGTCTGGTGGTGGTCCTGCAGAACAACGACGTCAGGTGGTGGTCCGGCGGAACAACGGCGTTAGATGGTGGTTCGGTGAACTCCGGGCATCAGGTGGTGGTCTCCGGCATCAGGTTGTGGTCCAGCGGAACCCCGGCGTCAGGTGGTGGTCCGACGTAACAATGGTGTCAGGTGGTGGTCCGGTGGAACAACGGCGTCAGGTGGTGGTCCGGTGGAACAACAACGTCTGGTGGTGGTCTAGTGGAACTCTGGGCATCATGTGGTGGTCCGACGGAACTTCGTCATCAGGTGGTGGCCCGGAGGAACTCCAACGTTAGGTGGTGGCCTAGTGGAACTTCGCCGTCACGTAGTGGCCTGGCAGAACTCCGACATCAGGTGGTGGTCCGGTGGAACTCCGGTGTCACGTGGTGGCCTGGTGGAACTCCGGCGTCAGGTGTTGGTCTGGCGGAACTCCAGCATCAGGTGGTCGTCCGACAGAACAATGGCGTCAGGTGGTCGAGGAGGCAAGGAGGCAAGAGCGATCTCTGATCATTCTCGTTTTTCCTTAGGCTTAGGGGTCCCTTTTCAAGAGAAAGGGGGCTTTATTTATGGATTTCCTAGAGTTCCATGGCTCGTAAATAGGAGGAAGATCAAGGATAATGGGGATTGGTTTGGATGAACGGCTGATGTTGGAATTCCGTAATCTTGGGCTCGTTGGATTCATCTCGTCGAGTCACCCAATTCGACTATAAGCATCTCACGTTTGTAAATTGTTTGGTAATTCAAATTGTGGTTCGAACCTTCTAACAATGCTCCGGGCCCTTGATTTGGACCCATTTGGGCTCTGATTGAGTTGAATTTGGTGTCATTTGGTTCATATTTTTGAGACATTCATTTCGACTATAAGTTCGCTGAAATCAAAGTTCAGATGGTCCCAATTTTACTTGTGGAAGTTTCCAACCTGATTTTGCCTCGAGATTTGTGCCCGATCATGATCATTTTTTGATGATGTATTCAAACTAAATAGTAGAAACTCATCAATCAATCATTCTTACAACAGCTTTTAACACTATAGCACTTCATTGCTATTAAAGAAAATTTTAAGATTTTATCTTTATTGCCAAGCTTATAAGCCACTTGACTAGACATTGATCATGCTGAAAACCAGAACAAGTATTACTTTTGAAGCCTTCTCATCTTCACTGTCAGCAATTTCAAACACCCCATATGTTTCATTTAAAAATCATTTGTGGAAATTTTATTTATTCCAAGACAATTTGAATAGCAACTTTTTTTTTGCTCTATTTTAAATTAAAATTATAAAATATCTCATGTAAGAATTTATTTTTTGAATTAAATAATTTCACCTTTTAACTTTTAATATAAGAATAATATCATTTTGGAATAGAATTTTATTATAATCATCTGTTTTACTTTAGTATATAATATAATAATTTAATTGCATGTCACCAAGTCCATTCATCTTCATTCAACTGTCGTTGTCCGATTACTATCATCAAATCATTACCGTCCAACTACTCTTATCATCACTCTACTACTTCTCCAAAAATCTTTATTATAATTTTATATATAGGTGACTAATCAATTGCTCTCAACTTTGTAATCATGTTTTCTATAGTTGCAAAATAGTGTCTTCTGAAACTTGTAGTATATAGTGCATTATTTCAACTGAGTTAAGTCACATGATTTCATTTCTTCCCAAGTTTTCCGCATAAGAAACTAAAGTGTCTTATGTATTCTTCACTTTTATTTGTGTGTATGTTGAATCTTCATGTGAAGCTAGAATGTAAAATTCTTTCTCGATTGTTGTAAATTTTCTAACACCCAATAGTTTGGAGCTATTTGTAGGAAAAATATTCATATATCATGACCGCATTAATTTAATGTCTGATATAGGATTCATACTCGTTGAAGTGAATTTTCTAATTCCAACTCTTGCAAAATTAGAAATTTGTGTAGCAACCATAGACATCGTAATTAGGCAAGTGTAGGCTCTTAAGTCCCATCCTTAAAGGATTGAATATACAAGATAGAGGAGCAAACAAACCCAAATCCTTCAACTTTTGGAGGTGGCTAGCCAACAGAGAGTTGGAGTTCACTAGTCACAAAATCAATAATTGAAAGAGGTTGGGCAATTTGAAGATGCTCATATGGTTCTCCCTCCGCCACAACCTTATCAAGATATCTCATACACTACTATTTTAGATCATCCTTCTCATGTTACTTAGTTGACTCTTAATCTTTCGACGGCTTGGAGTTTCTTAAGTCAACCTAAATTATTAACACCTCTTATGTTGTTAAAAGCGATGAGCCCCGACATCTTATACAAGAGAAAATCCATTTGAGGAAAGAAACTAATTTACATTTTGTTGTAGCTTTTAAGAAACTTCACATTTAAATGAAGCAATTCTCTTGCATCCTATTTCAATTGGATTTAAATTTCCTACAAATGATCCTTATGATGGGAGCTCATATCTTGATAAGCATATTGATCATTATAAGATCATTATGCACATTCAACAAGCTTTTGACAGTTCTTTCCTAGGTCATTTATGTGAATCTTAAGGGATAAGCTCGCACCTGATTTTATCATTCTAGTAGAGCAATTTGTATTTTTATCAGCCAAACTGGACATTTTATCGAACAATATATTATCCATAACAAGATCATCAAGGACTCTCCCATCTTTCTAAGAATTACCAAAATGAGAGAGAGATCCTTAAGGAGTACTTTTAAATGTTATTTTTTAAAAGCATTGTTAAATTATGAGAGTAAATCTAGAGTTACTAGAAGATATTTTTCTTGGAGGTCTCCATCTCTCTGCTCCTACCCTAATTTTGCTTATAAAATATAAGCACAAATAATTAGTGATGTGGCCCTAAGCATCCACTAGAAGCAATTTAAATAATCATCAACTAAGGCTTCGTTTGGGACGGTTTTTTTACTGCTTTCTAAAATGGAATTTTAGTACAAATTTTTTTATTTTTGTACTAAAACTCTGTTTTAGAAAGCAATAAAAAAGCCGTCCCAAACAAAGCCTAAATGTAGGAATTCATAACGAGAAATTTAGCATACTTTCCAAAGAAGAAAGCAGGAGCAAATTCAGCCATGGTCATCAAATTATTTCGATTAAACAATCCAAGGCTAAAATTGTATGAGAGATTTACAATTTTGGACACCACAACTAGCCAAAAAAAAATTTTAAATCTAATTGACAAGTCTTAATATTATCACTTTCATCATTCAAGAGGACATTTCACACCAAAAATAATAATAATAATAATAATTAGAGAAAAAGATTGAACGTCTAATTTACTAAAGTCACTTTAGTCATTATTTATAAAAATAATGAGTGGATAATCAATTTTAAAATAGAGGAGATTTAAAGAGCCATGACAAAAACATTATTGAACTTATTAAATATGAGTGTCATCACGACTTATTTTCCCTCATATAGAGAAAGATATTATCATCGAAGCAACCTATAGAAATTGAGCTTCTCATCTCAATGGAATTTCTATCTGAATCAGACTCCATTTGGGGGGACTTTCTTGCTGCTTCTTAAAGCAACTTTTTAGTATAAAAATTAAAATCTTTATACTAAAAAGTTGTTTTAAAACGTAATAAGAAAGTTGTCCCAAACAAACCATTAATCTCTTTATTTTTATTAGAGAGAAAAAGTTGTCTTTTAAATAAGTTCTATTTAAATTAGCAATGAAGTTGTTCTTTTTATAAATAGCATTGTACCT